CAAACTGCTGCATCGAACACACGACCCTTCATAGACAGCCGGAGGTCTCGGCGGCGTTACAGATATCTCAGGTTGACAAATGTCAACCGAGCTGACGCTTCATCCATGATGTGTCCATCCAGTGAGATATGGCTGCACTAAATAATAAAAACCGTTCATTAGCTTATTTTTGCTTTTCTGATGAGAATGAGGGTGGGTATCGGACTAACTCAGTTCTGCAGCAAAATTTTGCACTTTGAACGTGCGAAACGCATACCAAACATGACTACACTAGCACTCAAACTATCCTAAAAAGATTGTAACTTATCTGAATCATCAGTTAGCAGTGCCATATCGTTTGTATACTCCAAATCAGACAGTCTGCCATCTGGGAGCAAATCGATGCTACCTACTATCCTCGCACGAGGATAGGGCTAATTCCATAGTTGAAGCTATACTGAAGTTGAACAGAAAAGGAGAGAACAAGTGAGGTACCCTAACGAACACCGCTTTCTGTTGTTAACTCGCGTGAAAAGGTACCGTAAGCTCGGACTCTGTGGTTATTCAATCATCAAACGCCTAACGAACAATTCTGCCATTGTTCATCAGCCTTCCACGACAGCAGTGCGTAAGAAATGCTGAACAATCGCTAGCAATCTCTAGGAATCACACCTTCAGGAGGGGGAGAGGGAGGGATCGTTGTATAGATGATGAACGGCAAAAAAATCTGGTCGAACGAGGAGAGATTTGTTCCTTTTATTTTGTTATTCCGACCAGATGAGAAAATAGATTAAGTACTTCAATGATTGCGAAGAAGCCTACCCCTCCCGAGCCGGCCTAAGCGCGTATCGATCCGGTGGGTTCAAATACGAATGAATGTGATTTCTGTTTTACTGCAGCTGGTTTCGATTGTAAATAGGACGAATTGGCTCATGACGGACAATCTTGTGTGAAACTCAGAGCAGAATCGGCTGAAGAACAGCGTATTGAATTGTGGCGAGCACCATCCTTAGCACAAACGAGCGAACAGTGAACGGTCACATGGTGGTTTCAGAGATTGTTTGTGAACCGGTGGAAAATAATTTCACTGAACGCGCATGTGCATGAGAGACAGACGGTCGGTTGGCTGTGTTGTGTTGGTGCGGACCTGACTCAGCAATCCAAAGCTTTACCGTCAGCACCATGTCGTATGTGGATGGGCAATTGCTGTTGGGGCATTTTGTTAAGGTAAGGAGGAAATTGTGCCCGGGGCTGGTGGTCTTAGTCGATCTGGAGACCGGTGGGCAAAACATGCCCCAACAACCGTAAGCGTATGATCTTGACCGCTTGAAAGTCCAAGTTTGACTGGTATTTGTGTGTGTGCGTGTAACTTAATTCTATGTGAGTGTCGGTATTTATCTGCATTTATCCGCGATCGACAGCACAACGGCAGTTTATTATTTTCACATATCAACTGGGCGATAAAAGATGCCGCCGGACAACCAACCCGCTTGAGGAAAACGGTTTCCATAGAAAACAAATCATTTGCACGCGTTTTTCCCAGATCAATGGCTTAAACTTCCGGGCAATATTTGCAACTCGATTGGTTGCTGTTGATGATAGAAACTTCAACCGAATCGAAGGTGCACTTTACTTCTCCCCGTTTTATCATTGTTTTAATTTGTTCTTGAGGATTGTCAAGAAATGCGTTTCAAACAATGGCAGTTAGATGAACCCGCATTGTGAATGGATGCTTATCTACAATTTTTTTATTGCACAGTATCGTGTGATGAACAACAGACGGGGCGAACCCCATAGTCACGAAGACCTGCAGTTCAGTGATGGAAACCGGTGACCTAAGCCCCGGGACTTGGAATGGCGAACCAGCCAAGGCTCCGCTAGATTATGCGTGGTATTGAACCGGACCACAGCACAGCGGCTTACCGCCAAAGTTGGGTGTCAGTAGCGGAGCTCAAACCTCAAAACTATAGGGTTCAAAACACGCCTGTGACAACGACTAAACCATTGCGCCACCACGAGCATCCAATAATGTTCGTGCTAATTTTGTGTTCTATGTGAAGTTTTATCAAATATTCACACTTCTTTTAACTCGTGCAAGCCAAGGAGCTTATGGGCTTCAATCAGATTATTTGGCTTATAACATTTGGTCTGAGTGTGTATACGTGTGTGTGTGTGTGTGTGTTGTGTTTTAGGTTTGAACTCTGTCCCGTTTAGTCGCGTCCCTTCTGTTTATCATGCACACCACTGTGATCAGCAAGCAATCGGGTAAACTAAATCATCCTGAAGCTCTTTTTACTGTTCACGTCAGGAANTTTTCTGTCACCAATCTGTCCAATCGAATGCACTTGATAGCATTGAAGTAGACGAAATGGAAGCTTGAAAAGACAACCCGGTTGATCGCAGAATTCGCATAGAGCTTATCTCGCATTGTCCATTTGCGAGCGACCCTATTTTTTCTCTGCCGCACATTTGTGTCTTTCAAGTGAGGAGAATTTTCTGAACGGACACATATGATAAAGATTTTCTCTTTTGGGTTCTTCCGAACTGTAAAATCAATCAATCANAATCAATTATTCAGTGTTTGCGACCATTTTTTTACGACGGTGGTACAGCCCCCGCTTTCAGTTGTTCAGAAGAAAGATGATTCTATTTTTCACCATTCGCTTCCATCTTTAAAATGTATGCCTAAACAGATGAATGTGATCAGATAGAAGCCATAGCGATTGACGGTTTTGCACTCTGATTTCACTACTACAATGAAAAAACTCGGGTGGTTTTTTCTATAAATGCTGTTAAACAATTCATGACCCAATGAACTGAAGTGTATGTTATCTTTCGCGAAATTTGAATTTGACACTCTTTGATTTGGATCCCGTAATGAATTTGAACAGACAAGCCAGAAGGCAAACACTAGGCGAGAGGAATTCCGTTCGTATACTCTCATCGGTCGCTTACGTATAATATCCAACAAGATAGACAAATGAAGCGAATTAATAAATCTAGTTAGTATTAACCATATTGTAAGGAGAAGGCGAGCTGGCTGGGAAAACGTCTATTGATCCAATTAAAAAACAAACAGGGTATGCGTTCCATTATATATTGTCAATTCTCAACCGCGCGGCGGGATGATTCATGCCTCTTTCTGTGTGTCATTCCTTGTTGCTTTTGGTCCGCACTTGGCACGTACGTTGCCTCTTCTTCCGCGTGCCATTCCGACTGGTTTGACCCGATCGCGGCGTGAGATGCGTTGATCGACAGCTCTGACGTTGTGGCATTCGGTGGGTATCTTTCCCGTTAGCTGCGGATTGTCTTTCGGGCTGTAATTGTCGATTCGCTCGTTTCGGGTGGCAGTCAACATTTTCTCGCGAGACACTTCCCGTCGCTGCGTCTGCGCGTCTAGTCGGATGGGCCCCATTCTTGCTTCGGTCGCTTACCAGGACTCTCTTTGAACTGCCTTCCATCACAATATGTGTGTGTGATCGTGTATAGTGTTAACTAGATTTCTCAATTCGCTTCATTTGTCTATCTTGTTCGATGTTATACGTACGCGACTGATGAGAGTATACGAAATGAATTCCTCTCGCAGTGTTTGTCTTCTGACTTGCCTGTTCAAACTCTTTGTTTTGTCCTTTAATCTCAGAGCGTTAAAATCTCTAGGTACTGATGGGATAGTTATGAAGGATAGGGAACTGGGCAAGGAAGAGGGAATAATGACCATCGAGAGGCATACCCCATTCTCCAGTAACTTTCTAATTGACAAAGCGTGACTAGTATGACTATAGTGTTCGAAGCTTGAGTGAAAACACATTACAGCAGTAATCCGATGCATAGCAACCACCACTACCACTACTACTACTACCAACGTGTGTGAACTTTAACTATGTCAACCACAAAATGCCATGCGCTTATCTGAACACGGTTCTTAGGCATATCATCTGATTGCGTTATTTCACGGTTCCGGCTTCGATCCGATTTTCAAAATCTCCCTATTCTATATATTTTCAACTTTCAGGCACTCACTAGTCCAAGAATTACCCCACCCAGTCACGGTTATGTACCATTGAAAGATGCACCAGGATTCCGAAACCTGCCCGTGGATCAAACTCCAAGAAAACTGGTCAAAGGTGATCAGTTGCACGAGACTTCACTGTCTGATCAGCGAGGGGACGAGAAAGCCGGAAATACTTTGGTTGCTCTGGATGATGGTTCCGGGAAAGGGAAACCGGTGGGAAGTGCAGCATTCTCCGGATCAGCTCGCAACACTGCCGTGGGTCCGGGGGCTGGGAGTAGTAGATTTGATTCCGTATCACAAAGCACTGCGGACCTGGACACGGCTGGTGGCACGGGTACCGGATCCAGACCAGCGCTGGAGATGAGCATGTACATTCTGCTGGGTTTGTTCGCCCTGGTCGGCCTAGTATTTGCAGTCAATTGTGGTGCA